TAAGTGTCTATGTATTTGTCTCCTTATCTATCCACCTTCCATGTTCGATCTATCTATCTTTATATCTATCCGCTTCATCGATCTATTCATGCGCATGCTCTATCCATCTATCGATCTATCTATCCACCTATCTATCTATGCACCCCTCTGTCTAGCTTATCTCTCTCTCTCTACCTATTTGCTTATGTATTTAATCTATCTACCTATCCCTACTTAACCTATCCATTCGATCTATTTGTCTAATCTGTCTATTCACCTATGTCTCTATCTATCTACCTACCTTAACTATCTGAGCTATCTTAACTATCTGATCTATCTTATCTATCTTATCTATCTTATCTTATCTATCTTATCTATCTTATCTGTCTTATCTATCTTATCTTATCATATCTTATTTATCTTATCTATCTAACCTATCGAATCTATTCTATCTATCTTATCTATCTTATCTTATCTTATCTATATTATCTATATTATCTATCTTATCTATCTTATCTATCTTATCTTATCTATCTTATCTATCTTATCTATCTCATCTATCTTATCTACCTTATCTATCTTATCTATCTCATCTATCTTACCTTATCTATCTATCTATCTATCTAGCTATCTAGCCATCTATCTAATCTATCGAATCTATCTAATCTATCTATCTATCTTTCCGCGCTCTCTGTACCTTTTGATTTATCTACATATCTCTATCTCTCGCTCTCTATCAACCTGTCTATCTATCGATCTTGAGAAAGCACTGCACCTGCCAGGCCATTTGCGCATTACCGTGCCAGATTGCTGCGCCTGCCACGAAATGTAAACTGACCTTGCAAAACTGCCGCTGCCACGAAATTCATACCCGACCTTGCAAAAGTGCTCGCCTGCCACGCAAACTAATGTCGCGAAAAGCCTGCGCGTCGTGCCAATGGTTCCGGCTCCTAACGTGTTCCAGCGCCCGAATTCTCTCCGAGCTTGCTCCGAACGTGCTCCGAGACCCGCAGAGGGCTGCATTTGTTTTGAATCATTTCCCTGCCCACCTGCGCGCTTGTCATTTGCCAGAGAGCTAGCTTTCAACTAGTTTCCGTACCATGGAACATCGTTCTAAAATTGCAATGCAGACTCGCAACTTCTGGACATGCATGCTTGCTTTTCCAGGAACCTCCGGCCCGCCTGCTGCCTGATGCCTGGGTGGATCGCTTCGAAGCAACGGAGCGACCAAACCAGGCCTTTTTGAGGTGGGGCTGCGTTATACTTTGAAGGCCTTGCCAGCTTTGCACCATGCCCATTTGAGTCATGCTGCATCTTCAACGTAGAAGAGTTGATGACAAACTCCGGTACAGTGTGTTATGCGAGTGCCTGTTTGGTTGATAGTCATGCCCGGGGTGACTGACTGAGTCTTCCTATGGTCCTGGCGCAGGGTGGGTGGCGAACTGGAGCAATGGTTTGCAGAGGCTGCAATCCTCAACGGACAAAGCTTGCCACTGGCCTCCGGGGGTGTTAGGTGCGTCGGCAAAAAGCAGACTCAGCTACGCAACGCAAGCTTTGGTGATTCCGGCATGCTTTGTTGCGCATCAAGAGCAACAGACATATAGTGGAGCATGCAGATGAATGCGATTCAGCATGATTGGGTTGTAGTTGCTGAAGGGGGAATGTGGCCATCCCACGCCTTCCACTGGATGCCTGCAAGCTTGGCAGGAGCATCTTGGTCATCAAGTGGGACCCAGATAAGTGGCCACAGAAGCTGAAGTCATTCACCACCCAGGCAGAGCACATGCGCGAGACATGCCGCAATTGTCGTATGCCAGGTGCATGAGGCTTTGAAAGCAAGACGAGAACGAGAGCTTGCCAAAGCTGCGCCTCAGGCGCGAGAGTTGTTTGATAGTCATGGAAGTTTGGCGCCTGTAGGCTATCGAGGATTGGGTGGATGACGAGGAGGAGTATCAGGGAGCCAAGGACGAGTATGACGAGGCAAATCTGCGAGCTTTGTTGTTTCTTTCTGCCTTGTATATTTCTCCATCTTTGTTGACTGTCAAGGAAGCTGTGTCGTTCTTGCGGCGCTTGCGCTCGCAGCGGACGCGCCGATGAGTTGATTGCCAGCAGAAATGTGGGTCCGTGGACAATTTTCAAGACATGAAGAACCAGGTGAATAGTGTCAAGTGCTAGGCCGCAAAGAGTTTTGCTCGCTGCTCCTGGCTTTGCTCTAGATGACAAGATTTCAACAATGGGAGAAGGGGTAAAGTCTCACACGATTCCGAGCTGTATTTGTTGGAGTTCTGCCACTTGCTTTTCCTGTTTGTTTGGTTGCGTGTCTTTGACATAGTGCGCAACAATGGGGAACGCAGTCAGCAGCTGTGCGGAGCTCAGCGTTGCTGTGCCGCTTCAAGAAAGCCTTCAGTCGTCATATTTGCGCAGCGTGTCAGCAGTTTGCATACATTTGAACACTCGCACGATAGATGCACAAGCGGGCCCAGCACAAGGTCAGCAGCCCTGCTGCCGGTGGGCGCCTGATGTGGATGGGGAGCTGGCTGTGGAGGCCGGCTGTACGTGGAGTTGCGGCTGCAATGACCGACTGCTTGCAAAGGGCACAAGAGCGCTGCAAGAAAACTGTAAGAAGCCAAGTCTAGAGATGCTGAGATGCTGACCAATGCGTAGAGAGCAGCGTTGCAGGGTAAGGGCCGACTGGGAAAGCCTGAGGAGACCTGGACACTTTGTGCCAGGGTCATGGATAGCACTGATATCACTACATTACATGCAGTTTTGGCCGATAGGAGGAGCAGCCCAAGATGAACTTCGACACCAATGTTCTTGGTCCTGCAAACGTCAACTTGATTGGGGGTGGCAGTGGAATTCAGGAGACTTGCTCAACATGAATTTGGTAATCAATTTCGTGGATTCGCTTTGATTGCAATCGACCAGTAAAAGACACAGGCGACTCCAGATGCTGGGTTGGCTTTCCTTGATACAGCACCAGAACAAATCACTTGTTGGAAGTTTACTCAAAGCTGATGTCTTTCATGACTCGATGTCCTCTGTAGGATCTAAAGTTGGTTGATGAGGCGCCAGAAACTCAGAGCAACCACCATTCCACCCGGTCTGTGCTGGGCTGAAGGGCTTGAAGCAAACTTTAACCGTTTGCAAGCAGCACCAAGGAGATTCCCCAAGTTTGACTCGGACTTAAAGGAAGACAAGGCTGCAAAGGAGAGGGAAGTACGGGCGGCTTGGCATGACTGGCTCACTGAGTTCCAGGTGTGTGCAATTTATGTGATATTGGAAGGAGACATGTCTTGCCAAGGCGAAGGCGGCGGCTCAATTGAAGAGAGCTGCGGACAGAGCGTTTCCTTTGACCCCTGGCAGTCCTGGAACTCCTGCAACCCCATCAGCCCCCTCGCCGACACCAGCCATAAGGGCACCCATCGCACAGCAGGTGCTTCCAAAGTCCGGCATGAAGGAAGCAAAGGAGCTCAACTCACCCTCGCCGCTTTCACCCGCCCCGGTCATGTCTGCCAAGCAGTTCACCGATGCTCAGAAAGAGAAAGTCAAGCCCATGGGCAGTGTACCGAAGACAAATGAAGCCAAGAAGAGAGAGCCCAAGCCTGACTTGATGGGTGATTTTCGCATCCTGCCTTGCTTGGCATGGGAAGGGCTGTATGCTCACTTCGACTGCCCGCGAGCAACAAAGTCCATCCAGCCCTCTCCCAAGGCATCGACACATCGGTCTCACAGCATTGCTCCCGCGTTGTGGTCGCCAACCCACGGCAGATGGACCTGCCAGAGCTCTCCAAAGCTGCCAGAAACAGATGCGATTTGCAATATGCTCCCGGCTGAAAAGGAGAAGATCGAGATGTTCACGAAAGCCTCAGCTCCATTGGAGGCAGCGATGGTCTCAAGCGCAAAGCATAGGGCTATGAAGGTCTCCTGCAGCGTGTCCCCGACAATGTGGTCTCCCGTGCATGGCAAATGGTGTGGAGTGGTCTTGAAAGTCTGGCCTTCAGAGCCTTCGGAGCCTTCGGAGCCTTCGGAGCCTTTGCAGCCTCTGATGGCCGTGCAAGTCAAGCTGGCCCCGGATCTCCTTGTCATGGCAGCGCCCGCAGCGTCTGCAATGCTGGATGCTGCATTCAGCATTTGCGGCGAAGCGGCCCCAAAAGTGATCGCAACATGCGAGCAAGGCCAGGAGTACTGTGCACGACAGCGGAAGACGGTGAGCTGCAGTTTGACCCCAGCGCTTTATTCCAGTTTCCACCAGCACTGGACTGGGCAAGTGCCACGCATGAACAGCGCCAACTCATGAGCCCTCATGAGGAAGAGCAGGCGCGTGCAGCTTTTTGTCTTTTTCCATCCACTTGCTCGTATATATGATTGAGCCAGGTGTCCAAACTTCATGAGAGACGCAGGCGCGGAGTTTGCGTAGCCTGTCAGAATGTCTTACTGTAGCCCTAAACGAATGGGACTGACTGCGGGGCTTGGCTGACTCTTTCATTTGAAATGCACCTGCTTGCTCAGCGAAGCAGAACATGTGCTAGAAGACTAGTTATTATGCATACACACCTACACAAACACCCACCCATCCACCCATCCACCCATCCACCCATCCACCCATCCACCCATCCACCCATCCACCCATCCACCCATCCAGCCATCCACCCATCCAGCCATCCAGCCATCCAGCCATCCAGCCATCCACCCATCCAGCCATCCAGCCATCCAGCCATCCAGCCATCCAGCCATCCAGCTATCCAGCCATCCAGCCATCCAGCCATCCACCCATCCACCCATCCACCCATCCACCCATCCACCCATCCACCCATCCACCCATCCACCCCACCCGCAGGCCTGCCCACCACGAGATATCAGCTACTTGGATAATTTTTGAGAATCAATCTGAAAGCAGAATTCTCGGATTTCCAGGCCCGGCTTTGTCATGCTTGTCCACAAAGCTGCATCCATTAATGAAGTTTAATCATATTTTGTATTATTGAATATTAATCATATTAATCCCATCCAGTTCTAATTGGAGACACCCCCCAAAAGAGCGTTGAGCAATGTTGAACACTTAGCAAGGCCCCCTGCGGGCGATATGGCCGTAGCCCTGTCTGGTTTCACTATTGCCTTTTGCGAGGGCGGGATTCATTCAAGCATTGCGCCAACAAGAATGAATGTAGGCAATAGGTCGGGTTCTTGTTCAAGTGATCACACGCCTTCTGCCAAACTCTCACTTGTTGCAAGATGTTGTGAGCATCACGGATTCATCAAACTTTAATCAGCATTCTACGTGGTAGCAGTCCCCTAGAGTGATTCTTTGTCAGCCAGCATTGGTTATTGTTCTGCTCTCTCGATACACTACGCTGTCAAAGACGATTATATCGAGAGCCGGCACGCGGCAACTTTTGCCTGAATGAGCCCACACCATAGCTGCCATAGCAGTAGCACAATAGATTCAGATCATTTCGGGGATCAGTGCATGGCAGTGCAATCAGGGCAGCCGGCTTGTCTGGTGGGCACCAGCTTCAGAGCCTGAAAGCCGTGACGGCTCTGGCTTTTTTGTCACTAGAGATTGCCAGGCAAAGCTTGCTTGACTCACCTTCCGGCTTCTTTGCGGCTTGAATCTAATATCGCCACAAGGTGTTCTTTGCGGAATGACAGCTTTTCGTTTGAAGAGGCCATGCAGTCAGAGAAGTGGCAGGGGTCAGGATTGGACATGGGAGTCGTACCTTGAGCAGACCTTGCCCCAGCTGCGACGACATGGACATGCCAGTTGAGATGCACGTATAATAAGTTGTCTCAGGTTATCTTCGTTTGATGCAATACAATTGGAATCTTTGCATGGCCTCCGGTTGGAATGGCGGGATGTTTGGCTGAGCCATCTCCTGCTCCTTGCTTTATGCCCGACCGCTTCGGGCTGGCGCACAAATTGCCAGTCTGGAGTGGATGACTCATATCTGATATCCTGAAAAATCTTTGCATGGACCCGCGTGCAATTTCAATTTTGGATGCACTGAGAAGCAACCTGTGTGGAAGGCATGCTTCATTAGTTTACGAGCCGGAGCTGTTTGGTCAAGCTGCACATATCCTGTTTGTATTTTACTATTTGGCAGCAATTTCCTACTTGCTATGTTGACATCCCAGGGCCGGGTGTTAGAGTATGACTCAGTATGACCTACATGACAATAGAACCTGCTAACAAACCTCTCACCGGTGCGCTGCTTATTCTCACTCGCATTTTCGTCCCGAACCTCCAGCCCCAGGCATCAACTCGCCCTACTAACCCACCTACATACCCACCTACTCACCCCACCTACTTGCCCACTTTGTCCGCCTACCGACCCAGGATTTCACATTCTTATTCTTCAAACAACCCAGCATGACAACCCAATAGTGCACCCACGGACTACCCATCCACCCATACAAAATGCTCACTCTCCGATCGTACGTCCACTGCCCCGGACTTTTCATCTTGCCGGCCGATTTGTTTTGCGACTTCGTCCAACCGAGCTATCTGGTCACTCACTTGTCCCAGCACAAGCACGGACAAATATCTGATTGCCTCATGGGCCTTGTCTCATTCGCATATGATTTCAAATTAGCGTTTGGCGAGCACATGATCTGTGACCAGAATGGCACGAGACAGTCGGCAGCTAAGATGATGCCTGGACTCATTGGCAGACGATGCATGTGGGTGTGTGGCTGGGTGGCTGGGTGGCTGGATGATAGGCTGGGATGTTGTTGCAAGCGCTGTCGGTAGGTGCCATCGGTGGTTTATTTCCCAGGTGCTTGCGGTGGTGCTGTTTGGGGCGCTGTTGCAGCTATTTTAGGTTTAGGTGCTCGTGCGGCGTGATTTCCGGGTGCGGCACAGGTTTTCGCAAATTATTTCAAAGAGACAGGTGCCGTTTTAGGTGTTGGTGCTGGAACTTGTGCGTGACTTCGAATTGCCTTGCTCCTTGGTTACTTGGGGGTTTAGGTGTCGACGAGCGACCACGACCTCACGATGTTCTGGAGGTGGTTTCCAGCTAAGTCTTGTAGAAAGCTTCACTAAACCAAAGTCATGTTCTGCCATGGAGCGGATGTGGTATGTAGTCAGCAACTCAACCAAGCAAGCCTTGAAC